TGGATTGTTTTTATGTTCTATTTTAATGAATTTTTATCTTTTTCTAAACTGCTCAGAGTCGTTTCACAAGATGGCCAATGACAAATTTGATAAATAAAATAAATAAATGAAATATAAAATCGGTTTATTTGACTGAGATTACAATAAGACATTCTTTTTTTGCAAAGTTCTGGCAACCCTTTATGGACTTTTTACTGACACCAGGATTGAAAACTTGATGTTTTATGGATTTGCTTATAGATAAGGGATGGGATATGGGATGAAGAGATACCTGTTTGTAATCTTATGGGGGTGAAGAGTTACTAAATTTGTTTATACCTGTTGTGATGAAGGTTGGAAGTCACTTCTTTATATATTTTTCTTTTTCTTTATTATATTCTTTTTTTTTCTTACACTTTTTCTTTTTTCTTTTCCTATTCTCTTTCTCTAAGTTTAGTTTGAATTAGTTTTTACTACAGTTTAGTAGTAGTCTAGTAGTCCCCAGTTTAAGAACTAGTTCCGTTACTAAGATCTGTCCTTAAGTCGAATTTGTATGTAAGCCGGAACAGTATTATTGTATAATACTGTATAAGTATATTGTGTAATGAACTTGAACTAATGTCTATTTAACTCGAATTTTGCTACAATAGGCTTCGTTCTTAACTATGTATTGTCCTTAAACCGGGCATTCTTAACCCAGGGACTACCTGTATTGTAATTAAAATTCTTAATAAAAATTTTTTAAAAAAGAAAAGATTTCAAATGCCATTATGTGTCTATACCTACAAAGATCAAAATCATACAAGCCATAGCATTCACTGTGATACTCTATGGAAGTGAAAGCTGGACTCTTAAGAAACAAGATATGAAGAATATTGACGCTTTAGAATTTTGGCATTGGAGTAGATTCCTGAGAATATTTTGGACAGAAAGAACAAAGAAATGGATCATTAAACAAATTAACCCAGTGTTCTCACTAAAGGCACAAAAGACCAGGCTCAAATTATCCTACTTTAGACACATTATGCAAAGACCTAGCTCTCTGAAGAAAAGTCTAATGCTGGGAAAGGTGGAAGGAAAGAGAAGACGACAAACAAGCATCAAGGTGGACGGACACAGTTACAGCGGCACTAAATGCACTGTTGGAAGATATGAAAGACCAGGTTAGGGACACACTGTCATGGAGAACAGTATGTGGTTGACAGGAGTTGACATGACTTGATGGCACATAATCCTTGGGAAAACATCTTAGTGGTTCTTGGAAAGGTGACTTCTTTTGTTCTGAGAAGAAAGTATTTGCCCTTGGTGCCCTCCTTTTACTTTCCAGAAATCTGAATACCTTGCTGCACTAAAGTTGGTAGAAGCAAAAAGAGTGGTGACTAGGAATATGTCATGGATGGACCAGATCCACAATATTGCTTTTCTTTCCCTTTTACCCTGCTGAACAAGACCAGAAGAACTTTGAAAAATGCTGTTTTATATCATCCTGCCTTCCATCAATAGGACAACTCTATTTGAAAACCATATAAATAAGAAAATAGGGATCCCAAAATTGTAAGACTGAATGTTTTCCACAAAAATTAAAATATAGGAAAAATATACAGAAAGATGTAATCAATGTTTGTAATTAGAGTTTTTTAAAAAAAAAAATAGTCCCAATCCTAACAAATAATTTCTTTTATTCCTTGCTCGACTATTCTCTAATTCTTCAATTATTGTTGGGAAGTATTTATATTTCATCCTCTAGTTATGTAAAACTAGTCAGAATTATAACTGGGCTCTGAAACAACCAATTTTCCCTATACTTGAAAAATAACTTGGTCATTTCGGACCCAGTTCTAAACCTATATTAGAACTTGTTCTGTATCATGTCATCAACAGAAGCATAACAGGGTTTAGTTTTCACTTGAGACATGCATGCCTGCCTAAGCCCTAGGCCCCAAACAATTCAATTTTCTGGCAGAACTAGTAACTACTCTATTATTCTAGCTAGATCTCAGACAAACAAATCTCTGGGTGATATTTTCATATCTCAAATCTTGAAATATACATTTTCTCAATTTTGTACTTGGTGTGCCTCATGGCAGCCCATCAGATGTAGTGTGGGGAACAGAGTGGAACTGAAGAAAGACTATCCTACTAGAAACTTGTAAGAAGATTGTAAAAAGCAGTGATGTCAATCAGCTCTAAATATTTCCTAGGGATTCTCTCATGGCTCCATCTTTCCCTCACTTTGTGAGGACATAAAATTTATAACAGCCTGTTTTATAGCTGCTCTGTCACAGTGACTCTAAGCAGCTTACAAAACAAACAAACAAACAAACAAACAAGTATATCAAGCAAAAGAAGACAACTAACCAGAAGACAGAACAACACA